GGTGAATTTTAGATTTAACAAGAGCCATGTTAACATGGCCATCCCCCGCCAAATGTGTTTGCTCATTGTAAGAATGTATATGTAGTAAAGCAGAATAATTCAATCTAAAGAGGTCTTCTGGTAATAAAAACTGATGGCTGAAGTGATTACAGATGATTTGAAACCTATGTGAATACTGATGGCTTAAAATAACAAAGGGCAATAACTGAAAAATAATGCATCGTAGGTTATGATTCTTGTGTGCTGCACTCCTCCTCAATGAGATTTATCCACCTATGAAGTTTCAAGTTGATACCTCTAACACTTTTGAGATAAGGTCCGGACAAAAAGTATGAAAAATAACAAAGGGCAACAACTCAAAAATTATAAAGGGTAGAGTTATCATTCTTGTGCACAGCATTCCTCTTCAATAATATCTATCCACCTATGAGGTTTCATTTTGACATCTCAAAGACTTTTTTAGTTCCACTCAGGTGAAAATTTAGTATGAAAAATAACAAAGGGCAATAACTCAAAAATTATGAAGAGTAGAGCTATCATTCATGTGCACTGCACACCTCCTAAGTGAGATATATCCACCCATGAAGTTTCACGTTGAATATCTCAAAAGTGGCTTTTTTAGTTATGCCTCTGGACAAAAATTAAGTTTGAAAAATAACAAAGGACAACAACTAAAAAATTATGCAGGTAGAGTTATCAATTCTTGTGTGCTGCACTCCTTTTCAATATGATCTATCCACCTATTTAAGTTTCAAGAGTCGATACCTCTAACGCTTTTTGAGATAAGCTCCGGACAAAAAGTATGAAAAATAACAAAGGGCAATAACTCAAAAATTATAACGGGTTTAGTGTTATCATTCATCCATGCACAGCATTCTCTCCTCATAAAGATCTATCCACCTATGAAGTTTCATGTTGACATCTCAAAGACTTTTGAGTTATGCTCCACAGCGTGAATATCTTGATGTAAATGAAAAAAAAAGGGCAATTAACTATGATACTATATGAAAGGTGATTATCATTGCAATAAAGCACTGCAACACCTCCTGAGTTGGAGAATATTTCACCTCGCGAGTTTGAGAAGTTTTTTCATGTTTGAAATATCATCAATACGGTCTTTAGAGTTTATGCACCTGGACAAAGGAAAAATAGAAGAGTTAATTGGAAAATAAAAAGGGCGAAGACCAAATTTCTAAATTCTGCTAGGAGTGGGTTTATCATTACTTTGTAAAGCACTTGCAACCCGAGCTCAATTAGAATCCTCATCCGCCTATTAAAACTTTCAAAGTTGATTACCCCTAAATATTTTTATTGAGTATCAATGCTTCCTCGACAAAAATTGGTACAGGAACCGGACGGACGGATGGAAGGACACGGATGACGGAAGCAATCAAGACCCGGACAGCAGCCAGCGACTCTATAGTCCGCCCGCCGGCGTTTTTACAGGCGGGGGATAAAAGAAACAGTATAGAAAAAAATTTTTTCATATAAAACATGTATCAAGAATTTTAACCCTAATTGGGGAATAAAGGGAAACCCTTAAAAAATATTTTATTTTAAAAAAGGAAATTGTTTTAATTCTGTAAAAAAGTCCGATTTTGAATTTATATCAATTCCCTTTTAAACAAAATTTGATAATTTTTAAAATAAAAATATCCATAAGGTTTAGCTTGGGGTTTTTTCAAAATTCCCCCGTTGTTTTTAATGTTTAAAACAATATTTTTTAACGAATGGGAAAATCTGGGGGTGAATTAATCGTCCGGGAATTTTGGGAAAAAATTTGGATTTTTTTTCCCCAATTTCCGGTTTTTTCAAATTTTAAATGTAATATTTTTTTGAATTAAATTTTGGATTTCAAAGGGAATTTTTCATTTAAACAGGAAATAGAATTATGTTTTCATTTTTTTCGTCCTTTTAGTTTTAAATAACGGGGTTTTGTCCCTTTTGAATTTAATAAAAGGAGTTTTCCATTTATTTCACTAAAAAGGTGAGATGTGTATTATTTTTTTAATTGAAATTTCCCAAAAAAAATAACAAGTGAAATTTTAAAATACAAATAAATTTTCCCTTTAAAGTGTCCTTTTTTAGCAAACACGTCTTGGAACAATTTCAAAACAACAAAAAAATTTAAAGAGACAGTTTTTGGAAATTTTTGGAGAAAATTTTAAAAACTATTTAAGGGAAAAGAAAAAAATGTTAAAGGAAAAAAACAATTTTTAAAATTTAACCTTTATATTTTGTTGATTAAAAATAATAGTATTTCCCCCTATTTTTTTTCCCCTAAAACGGGTTTCGGGGAAAAGGGGAAAGGTCGATAGGAACATTTTTCCAGAATTTTTAAATTTGGGGTTTCTTAATTTTTCATCACCTTTTTCTTATTTTTGGGGCAATAGGTTTTATTCTTTTTGATATACAGTTTTTCTTCTTCTTCATTTTCAAGCATATCACCATCTAAACCATGATGTTTAGCAAGCAGGTATTTTTGTTTTTCATCATTTCCGAGCTCACCTCCATCTGGATCAAGATCAATTATTGTTTGTTCTTTAGATAACAGATTTTTTCCTTCTTCATTTTCAAGCATATCACCATCTAAACCATGATGTTTAGCAAGCAGGTATTTTTGTTTTTCTTCATTTCCCAGCTCATCTCCATCTGGATTAAGATCAATTATTGTTTGTTCTTTAGATAACAGATGTAATCCTTCTTCATTTTCAAGCATATCACCATCTAAACCATGATGTTTAGCAAGCAGGTATTTTTGTTTTTCTTCATTTCCCAGCTCATCTCCATCTGTATTAAGATCAATTATTGTTTGTTCTTTAGATAACAGATGTAATCCTTCTTCATTTTCAAGCATATCACCATCTAAACCATGATGTTTAGCAAGCAGGTATTTTTGTTTTTCTTCATTTCCCAGCTCATCTCCATCTGGATTAAGATCATTTATAATGTGTTCTTCAAATGAAAGTATTTTTTCTTCTTCAATTCCAGCCACCGCTTGATCTAGAGAAAGGTCGTTTAATGAAGGTTCATTTACAGGCATGTCATTTGCTTCAGAATTAACCTCTTTCTCGTTTATTTTTTAAGGGAAAAACTGGGGTTTTTAAACAAAAAGGGACTAATTTTTAAGATCCCTTTTCCCTTCCACATACCCCCCAAAAGTTTGGGGTTCGGCTTCTTCCTTATAAGGAGTTTGGGAAAAAATACACATTATAACAACTGAAATGTTTGTCATGATTTCTGTCAGCATTAATGCAAAAATGGTCTAGCAACTCTTTGTTTAAAAAACAACTTTACTGATTATTTTTACTCTATAATAAGCAACAATAATACGATAAATGGCATTAAATGCTTTAGAAGGTTACTAAATGGATTAATCTTTCTTTTTGGCTTTTCGTAAGTGCAAAGAAATTGTAGACAGATAGAATCATAGAAAATTCTTATTGTGTGATAATTACGATCAAGGAAATTTTGTCCCTTATATAAAAAGCATTTATCATTCTTTTGGCTTTTGGTTAGTGCTAAGAAATTGTAGACAGATAGAATCATAGAAAATTCTTATTGTGTGATAATTACGATCAAGGAAATTTTGTCCCTTATATAAAAAGCATTTATCATTCTTTTGGCTTTTGGTTAGTGCTAAGAAATAGCAGATGGAGAGAATCATAGAAAATTCTTATTGTGCGATAATTACGATCAAGGAAATTTTGTCCCTTATATAAAAGCATTTATCATTCTTTTGGCTTTTGGTTAGTACTAAGAAATTGTAGACAGATAGAATCATAGAAAATTCTTATTGTGTGATAATTACGATCAAGGAAATTTTGTCCATTATATAAAAGCATTTATCATTCTTTTGGCTTTTGGTAAGTGTTAAGAAATAGCAGATGGATAGAATCATAGAAAATTCTTATTGTGTGATAATTACGATCAAGGAAATTTTGTCCATTATATAAAAGCATTTATCATTCTTTTGGCTTTTGGTAAGTGCTAAGAAATAGCAGATGGATAGAATCATAGAAAATTCTTATTGTGTGATAATTGCATTTATCATTCTTTTGGCTTTTGGTTAGTGCTAAGAAATAGCAGATGGATAGAATCATAGAAAATTCTTATTGTGCGATAATTACGATCAAGGAAATTTTGTCCATTATATAAAAGCATTTATCATTCTTTTGGTTTTTGGTTAGTGCTAAGAAATAGCAGATGGATAGAATCATAGAAAATTCTTATTGTGCGATAATTACGATCAAGGAAATTTTGTCCCTTATATAAAAGCATTTATCATTCTTTTGGCTTTTGGTTAGTGCTAAGAAATAGCAGATGGATAGAATCATAGAAAATTCTTATTGTGCGATAATTACGATCAAGGAAATTTTGTCCCTTATATAAAAGCATTTATCATTCTTTTGGCTTTTGGTTAGTGCTAAGAAATAGCAGAGAGATAGAACCATAGAAAATTCTTATTGTGCGATAATTACGATCAAGAAAATTTTGTCCCTTATATAAAAGCATTTATCATTCTTTTGGCTTTTGGTAAGTGCTAAGATATAGCAGATGGATAGAATCATATTTCTATTGTGTGATAATTACGATCAAGGAAATTTTGTCCCTTATATAAAAGCATTTATCATTCTTTTGGCTTTTGGTTAGTGCTAAGAAATAGCAGATGGATAGAATCATAGAAAATTCTTATTGTGTGATAATTACGATCAAGGAAATTTTGTCCCTTATATAAAAGCATTTATCATTCTTTTGGCTTTTGGTAAGTGCTAAGAAATAGCAGATGGATAGAATCATAGAAAATTCTTATTGTGTGATAATGACGATCAAAGTTATTTTATCCCTTATCACCCAGAAAAGTGAATTGATTAGAATAACGGACATAAATTGAGGAGACAATTTACACTGCTTAGCAATATCAGTGTACCATCTGCTGGTCTGCAGGTGAGTTGTCTTAAGAAGTACCAATCAACTTTGTGTGTCTTCGTTTTTCGAATTCAAACCCTCGCTTTGTTCTTTATATTTTTGGCAAGATTCTCTTGGACTTTGTGTATATGTCTCGTTTTCTGAAGAACATTAATTTCTGGAAAATTAATAACTGAAATTTTCATAGTATAAAACATTCATTGTAAGAATCAATCCTGTTATTCTCGTTTAATTGTCAAGCATATAACGCACAATATAATTATGACGTTTTAAAATCGTTGTTTATTTAATGTTTATTTACTATACATATGATTTAAATCAATAACGAAATTAATGTTATGATTTTTAAATCAAATAATGAAAATTATGTGATGCATTTCGCATCATACTGGTTATATCTAACCATTTCGATCATATTTTTCTCAAATATCGAAACCCTTAAAACTAACTTCAAAAATGAAGTCATTTTGTTTTGTTCATCATTATCGATTGTCCTTAGTATTAAAAAACGTTTATCTTTAAATTGCCAAAATTTTGTAATCAGTGGTGATTGTGTACTTCACTAAGTAAATCATAAATTATAAACAGTCAAACTGTGCAATAATAAGAGTATGCAAGTCGTGAGATAAAAAAATACGTACTTGTCTGTGAAAACCATTTAACTTTACTAGTTTCTTTATCGTTCTTGGTGAATGTGCTCAGATTGCACATATTTATTAACCTGAATAAAGATATTAAAATATAGACAATAGACAATAAACAAAATTTAACACATACCCGTTACGATTTTGTGACACAGTATAATGGTCTTCTTTTTGACAGTAATGACAGTAAAAAAACACGTCTGTACATTTTAAGCAAACTGGTCATTTTGCATTGTTTATCTTATTTATTTTTCAGCTTATTTATTTTTCAGTGGAGTGTCTATTCTGTATGTTTATGCCAAATTAATTATATCAATTATAATTACATAAATCAATTTATATAAATTCCATTGAGCAAACTTACTTTTCTTTATGACGTAAGTAAATTAAATATACAGCTGCTGTAAGAATCAGTGCAAAGCTAACTAGAATTACTGCAACCACAAATACATTATTGCTTCTTTCTTCATCTGTAAAAAAATCATTTATAAAATTATCGTTTCAATTATCTTGTGTGAAACGGCATTAAATCATGGTATATGTGCTTCAACTGCCCGAGCAAGCATTATTTAGTATTTTTTAGGACATGATTCAATACTTGAGATGATTGTTTTGTTTGTTATATATCTTGGCTGTCAGTCCATCCAAACGGCTTTCCTGGATGCCATACCAGGAATTACCAATTTATCAGCAAGAGTTCGGACGCAAGTGAGGGAGACAAAAAGGTCATTACACTAAAAGTCCTAGATCATTTGTCATGGAGAATTTGCCTCCTCGGGGATCGAAACAGCAATGTCTTGTATCTCTCTTTTTATCTAAACTGACGGCCATTAATATTTGAGAACATCATTTTTCTTGTACTACAGCAGAGTAAGGGCTTAATCTAAAAACAATCTTCAGTCCAGGTACGATTAAAAAATTTGCATGCCTCAAAGTAATCTCGATCTAAACTGCGATCAACTAATGTTTTTTGTAATTTAACTAATATAGGGATGATTTGTTGCAATTTGCACAGTTTTATTTTATAAACATTTTCTCAACTTTGAAATAAAATGGAATGAGAAAAGAGTTGTTCATCATTTTTGGTCTCTACAATACCCGACGACATTAAAGTTTACAAAGACTTTTAATCGCACAACAATCAATAGAAAAAAAACAAAGTCAATACTACCTCGATCTGCGATCATGTATCTCCCAACGGTAAAATGTGACTCTCTTTGTTCGTTCCCATAATCTGCAACAATTTTCAGATAGCAATTTCCATTGTCACTAGCCTTGGCGGAAATTACCTCTGAGTACTGTATTTGTTGATCATTCCCGCAATCAGAATCCTTCGAACAACTTGTTATACTTGGGTTTCGGATTTTTGGGGTTATTTCTTTCTCGCGCTTGTTATGTGCCTACAATGAATGGCCGATTTTACTTATCATGGACATTCACTTAATTTTCAAACTACATTAACCTTAAACCTTGAAAAAGGAAAGCTTTCATAGTGAATATATATATATATGATCCAAAAAGAAGAAACTGATTTTTTTTCAGAATTCACCTCTGAACTTGAACGTTTACATTTAAAATAGAACGCTGTAACTATCTCACTTCATCATGGCTTGCATCTAGTTAATTTTATATGCACTAACTTTAACTGGTTTTTCACGATTATCCTGTCAGGGTAGACTACAATCTAGGATAAAAGTGATAAAAGTCACGAATGATGAATATCAACTGCTAAAATTATATTTCTTATAAAACGCTTTATCTAAAACAATTATATATTATGATGTAAGGTGAAAAGAAGAACATACATATATCTTTATCCATTTAAACGAAACTTTCGTGACATTTGAAATACAGCCAGAGATCGCTTGTATAGTCTCAGTTGTTGTATCTTCTAAAAGCAGAGGCTCGTAATCTGTAACAAAATCTAAATATTTATACATTGAAAGTCTCATATGAAAAGTAAACTTATTTCGTTATCATACTAGCTGTCATAAAAATCATGTAATTATTCTAATACTTATAAGAATCTTTTCAAAAATTATGTATTCTTTTTATCTGGTGGGGTAAATAACCTGATTGTAGCAATAGCTTGAAGTTTTTCTTAGAAACAGTCGGTCTTAAAGTCGTCTGAACGAGACAGAAGCGCATTCCATTCCAACGGTAACATAGTAAACTGCAAGTGGTTAATAAAACTATTTATGCTTTGAATAAAACTGCAGAAACTACTACATAACCCGTGTTTACGTCACTAAGATAAAAACAATTGATTTCACAAACGCTTTATTCATACGCATCAACTGCATTTCATTTAATTCATTGAATCAGAAATGAATGTTTATCATAATGAAAAAAATCATACTTTGTCAAGCGTACATAATTGAACAAATGGTATTTCAAACGAAAATAGGAAGTCATATATTTTGTACATAACGTGTAAGTCAATTCTGTTTCTAAGTAATTAATGTCTGTTTACTAAGATAATTTTGTCAAATCTATCTCCACATATGATTCTAAGAATATGACGGTCACGTGAATGAACATGCTAAAACATTTAATAAATAAAATAATATGTTTTCACAGTTGATTTCCTCCCTATAAAGATTTTTAACTGATTTTTTTGGTCACGTTTTAAGTACACTAGGTATGTAATTGGGCACAGCTTTCATATATAAATATATCAAGAAAAAGATAGATAAGAAATATGTCATGTTTCATATAAATATTGAATGTGTATGTTTAAAGACATCAAATATCGAATTCAGATAAGCAATTGTTTTGATTATTAATACCTAAGAAAAAAGGGACTGTAACGTAAATAAATAGGTTATGCTCACCTTTGACCCTAATAATTTGTGAATCAGTACTGGTTCCATCTGAACACACCAACTTTCTTCCATTATCTTTCATGGTTAACTTAGTAATTGTTAAGTTGAAGATATGATTTGCCTCATCATATGATGTAGTGTATTGATCAATGTATTTAGGGTTAATGTCACATTCCTTTCCGTTTCTTAAGCACTGAGCAATATGTACAGTTTCGTTTGAATTCTTCCAAGCAATGGCAAATGTTTTCTTCTTGAACTTGCAAGATAATGTTAGATCTCTGCCACATTCACATGAATTGTCATTTGCTAGGCTGTCTGGTACCAATAAATCAACGTTTGAACCTGAATTTAAACAAAAATATATCAATATATAAGGAGGAAAGTAATAAATAAATAAAGCAAGCGTATGAAGATAATTATTTAAGTGAATGATAAAAACAAGAAAATGGAAACAATATTTCGCGTTTTTCACAACGCTGGCGTTTTCGCAGAGACAAACTTCCGCTCAATCAAAGTGACGGCAAATTTCGTAAAAATTAAGTCGTTGGGGGAAAATCATAAATATATTTCTAATAATTCAATGTAATTTTCTTTGTTTGAGAGTAGCGAATAAGAAGAAATTTAATTTCCCTGAATGTAATGAATGACCGCTAGGTGTCGCTATTCGTATAATTTGTGTTAACCTGAGAGAGGTTAACAAGCACCTGTTGAAGCAAAGTGTTAAATACGAAGATATAAAAATTGCTCTTTCGTTAATTAAAAAAGGTTTTATATGATAAAATTCGATTTAACAAGTGCATATCATTTTGTTCAAATATTTAAACCGCATACAGAATATTTGGGTTTTAGTTGGAAAGACAATGATGGCAATGTCATATATTACAAGTTTTGAGTACTTCCTTTTGGTTTATCGTCTGCCTGTTATTTGTTCACGAAATTTTGTAGACCTCTGATCAATAAGTTTCGTGGAGAAGGAATGCTTGTTACAATGCTTTTAGATGTTTTTAAATCAACGTTGAAATTAGACGGATTTTAGTTCGTGTTCAATGTTGATGACTTGACAGCAGTTCGTGAGATTCGATTATTTTATAGCCTTAATGTTTACAAATATTTCCTCGTCAGAACTTAAGCTGTCCTCTACATACTTAATTGTTTTTCTTAATGTTTTCAAACCAGGTGAACTTGGAACGGGGATTTTTTACTATTGATTCCCCTTTGGCTTTTTGTTGGGTTTTGCTTCAGACACATTTGATTTTGACTAGGCTTGCCTCATACTACTTTGCTTAGAATGTTCCTTATTTTTTCACAGCGTCCAGATTCACATAAGTATTTGCGACAAGCAGCATTCCAAATAATTTGAAAAGCCAAAACAACTGATTTCAAATTGCTAAGGCAGTTGTGAACACTGGAATGGCAACAAAAATAAAAGTTTGTTTCGGGAATTCGCCTATTCAATAAGACCCAATGATACATGGGACGTATGTCCATCATATAGGCCAGACAATGACTACTAGTATTCTTATCTCTAGTAGATAGATACATGTATTTTAGGAATGGACACTGCATATATTTGCAGAAGATCTGTTAGACCAACCATTGTACGTCAGGGTTCCATCAGCACCTGGACTGGGACTATCAATAAAGTTATCTAGCAATCTTACACCTTGGTAGACAAAGAAAAGTGAAATTAGTTTACCTATGGCACAAACACAGCCAATAAGGGTAGTCATTTTAACCTTGCCAGATATAACTGCTTTTGTTTTGTTGTATATATCAGCAGCATCTTTTGGTAGTACGATGAATGTTCTGGAATCAGGGCTTTTCCATATACATGATATATTTCTTCAAGGTTGCATTTTACAAGAATATATTTTGTCTTGTTGCACTTTTAGCTCGAGAAATATGTAGTGCAAGAGGTTTCTTAAGTCAGGCCATCGTGCAAGGAAATTATTCTGAAGCCATTAAGCTATAAGAGATTTATTATCTTTACTTCTCAACAAAAGATGAATAGCATATTAATCAGTTGCAAAGTTCATGGTTTCTTGTAACCAAATTTAGCCATTGTTTGTTTATGACTTGCTTATAATCCTGTGCCATTTTTTAGAATAATATAAAATCAGATTATAACAGCTTAAAGATTCGCACTATTTCCCTCCAAAACAAGCATCCTATGTGAATTTTAATTCCACATGGCAGGCCATACAATGAACAATTATACTTTGTGACAATATCTTAATCAGGTGTTGGCAAATTAAAATGTTTCCCAGCAGGGTTTACATATATTTAACAAAATGAAGCTGATACCATTTTCATTTATAATATAGTGATAAACATAAAAAAGAAAATCAACTGACTTCAAACTAATATCTAGACAAGATGGCTTGTTAATGTCTTTTATTAATCTGTGAATTATATAAAACATTCTTTAAACCTCTTCTGTGTAAAATCAGCTGTTTTTTGTTTACATTCTCTCTGCAGTAAACACTGCATGTTATTTTTAGCTCAAGGTTTATAACAAAGAGTTTACTACACCCACAAATACTTGCTTCCGCGAAACATGATAGGATAATCAAATGGGCAGACAGCAGTTCAAGCGTCGACAGCTGTACCAGTATATACATGTCGGCGCAGGAAACACAATTGACGGACGGTAAGTATTCATCTTTTTTTAACATATCCCAACTGTGTTCGAGTAAATCAATGTTATGGATTCGTAGTCAACATCCAAAGGTACATACTAACACATTTCTGGCCCTGTGCAAGCTTTACTTCACGTGAATTTTGACTGAAAATAACCTCACTATCCGATGAGATGCGGCATTATTTTAAGTCACAAAAACTTATATTGTCTCATGATAATAATTCCTTTTATCATAAGATTCGTAAACGTCAACATTTCGTCATTTAATATTCCAAACCATACCATCAAAAATGCTTTTCTGTTAAAGTTATAGGGTATTTAAGTTTCAGTGTCATCAAAATTTTAGTAACGTCATCAGCCGTTCGCCTCTTTTTATTGATAACGTCGACAGCCATTCACACGGGAGAGGAAGTGTTACACGAGGGATGGAGTTCTTATGATAACTTGTCAAGGAGTTCTTGTGATAACTGTCACGGAGTTCGTCGGAAAACTATTGTATATACTGCAAAAACACTCGTCAAAAATGGTAATTTTCATCTTTAAAAAGTGAGTTTTAGGTGCTAAATTAAACTTTAATGATTAAGCTTGCCTTACATATTGTATTATGTGTCAAAAACTAATTCATAGTCCATTTTTCATCGCCTCTTGCTTAAAATCTGGTAGTTTTGAGTAAAATTTCCAAATTATTTGCCAATTCGCAAGTATTGACCTGTTTATTTCAAGTCTTCATCCTTGCCATACATAATTACCTAATTATAATGCAAAATTGCAAACATAAAGCCCCGGCTAACAAATTTATACCCGATTTTTCAAATGTCCCGGAGTTCTTGTGATAACTCAAAATATGTCCTGGAGTTCTTATGATAACTTTTGTTACTGCCAATGTGTTTCTTGTGCTAAATCACGGCACGTTTTAGCGTGTTTTTATTATTCA